AAATTTCAGTTTTTTAATGTATTGAAAATTATAGTGATTCAGTCATCAGAAACTATAAGCAATGGATCTGAACGACAAGTTTCGATGCTGCTGCAACTGCGTGCACGTCACTACAGGAACATTTATATTGGCGGAAGTATGGTTTTGCATATGCATTGCGGATTTCGTCCTGAACTATATATATTCGACAGAATACGTGGCGTTGGTATTTGTGGCACTTGTGCTCAATGGTTTTTTTGAACTTCTAATGATTATTGGAATCTACAAGACTCTTCCAAAACTCGTTCTTTCTTACTTCGTATTTCTGAACTTCCTCTACGGCTTTTTTCTTTGCCTCATCGCTCGCGAGGTAACGACACTGGTTTTGGCACTTAAAACTTCTCACAGAAATGGACTAATGGCGAGTGTCATCTTCATGGCTACATGTGGCATTGAACTGGCCTATGCAGTTTGGATGAACGTAATTATCTTCAAATGCTACAAGTACCTGAAGTACAGAAAGACGAACATTTTGAACTCTATCGTCAAACGCCGCTTAAGTACCGTTCGTAAACTGCGATGGCCAGCACAACTCTATACAGGTGATGTGCTTCCGTTTCACCTGCGATGCCACTCTACGTCATACCCTGGGCCACAAATATCGACGATTGAAGATATTCGAGGGAAAAACTTACGAAAGAACAAAATTAAACCGGTTCATAAACGGCTCGAAGGTTCACAACTACCGCCATATGCAAGTGCATCTGCTTTCGGTCAGTGGGTGCATTCTAACTCGAAGAAGAATCGTTCTGGGCGGACATACTCTGAACCGTGAGCATGGCAATATTGAAAAATCTACAAAGCGGATTTGAGAAAGTTGACTGTGGACCTGATGTTCCCAATTCACAGGGACTCTTACCAGCATTATTTTTCGACTCCTCTAATTGAATTCGAATATCCGCAAAAAGTGCATTTGCATTCAAATTGGATGTTGTTAAAAACTGAGCTTAAAATAATAACGTTCTATTATCTTATACCTGACATATCTAGCTGGCAAATTGCATTCATTTTGTGTCGTTTTTTAAAGGACGCATTGCCTCAATGACATCAGAGCATTCATGAATAAGATTTTGGAAATTAATAGTATGCCATGCAACAATTAATCTGTACCGAGTAAATGCAATTTCAATTCAGCGACAAAAATCATATCCGTTGCATCGAGTATGATCATCGGTCATTAGAGAACATTAATGATGCTCTATTCTATTTCTATTAATTCATAATAACATGTAGCCGTCGCAGCAAATTGGTCATCGTGCTGTCAAGGACACGATATTCAGGCGCTATGACATCATGATACTGAGGAACAACGCGTAACATTCAGCCCCCGTTAATCTCTGTTCAAGCCAGAGAGGGTCACCGTGTGACCGGTAGAATGAGAAGCAACAAATCATCAGAACAACTGGCCGGCATGAGGAACATTGTTCAAACAAACGAATCTCATACTCGACACCAGTTTATCCTCAACAAATATCTTCACAAAAGGCTTAACGCGACGACACGGTTATGGTTAACACAATCGTCTTCATGAATTGCGATAATGATGATGACGATGGTGATTAGGACGAAGTTGAGGAGTATGACGATGATAGCGTCGAAAAGGGATATTTTATGACTTTGTGGATTAAAACAATCATTTACATACAAGGTAGCTATCTTTCCAACAACTACATCAGCACCTAAAACAACTTTTATAGCATTCCCTCTATCTCACTGGTGCCAAACCTTTCTCCACCATTGCCAAATTTCTCTTGTGATTCTAATAATATGGCTTGGTACATGAACTAGGCCTGTTTCCATGGATTTCAAAAGATGTTGACGATAAATTTTGCCATTTGTCGGAGTTAATGAAAATAGAATACTGATCCTGAATAGCTTTGTGCCTCCAAATATCGAGTTAGTCATTGAAGGAAAAGATAATTCATCTTCATCTTCATCTTCATCTTCCATCGCCGCTTCTCCTTCCGGGTCGCGGAGGCAGACGCGTC